TGTGGTCCATGGCTCTGTGCAGAATGTTGCTTTCTGTGCTGATAAGCGTCCACACTGCCCTAACTGCCTCTCAGGTAAGTCCTCCCCAGCTGGTGAGAACAAGGGCCCTGCCCTGCCGTTGAAGGGTTGTCACTGACCTGTCTGTCTGGATGCTGCCCTGGTGGCTGAAAGCGCACTTCATGATGGTGTCCAGGGTCATCAAGGAGACGTGTCCAAGGACCTCCAGATGCGAGTCCGGGCTGACGAGCTCCTCCCACTTGTCCTGTAGTGGGAGGGGAACATTGACCCTGCTCTGCTCCCCTAGAAGGCCTGTGCTGACAAGGCCAGGCTCTCTCTCTGTCTCTCTAAATCTTCTGATGAGATTTTCTCACTTTCAAAGCAGATGTGTTTTAGCAGTTTGAAGCTGTAACACATGTGTGTAATGTGATGTCTATTTTCTCGGAATCATTTATTATGTAATTAATTATACTCTCTCATAATATTCTGAATCAATTCTGAATTCTAGGAACAATTTATGATGATAATCACCTTGTGGCAGACCAGAAAACATTGTTTCTCAAGGGACAAAGGGGTAATCTTTTGTGTCCTGAGATCGGAACTGGACAGACGATGGCCAACTCTTATAAGCAAATATTTCAAGGAAAGGAAAAGGTTAAGGGACTCTATTTGGGCTCCTATGAAGGGGAGATTCCTTTCATTTATCCATTGTTAACTGAGACCAGTAGGTGCTCAGTCTGGATCAGAGTTGATGTTTGTCAAGACCTGGCTCTGTGAGTGTAGACGTGGCCTCATTTCCTCCCATGAGTGGCTCAATTCCATGCAGAGGCCTTGGGCCCCAGGCCAGAGACTAGTTGAGTGACATCCTGGGATGTCCACTCTGCCACTGAAGCTGCCATTGTCCAGGGCATCCGGGGGCAGCTTGCACCACTGTCCAGGGGAATGACCCTTGCTCTAATCCTCTGTGTTGAAGATGTGGAGATGAGAGGAGAGTGGACCCTGAATATACTATGTCCCTGCTTTCCCTTGCCTCAGAGCAAATTGTGGATCCAAGCTGCTGCCAGGGCACCCCTCTGTCCCATCCAGTTGTGGTGAGCTCTGTCTCAGAGTACGTCCTGAATGCATCACTCTGGAGGCTGTGTCTGATGGACGCCTGAGGGACACAAGGGTCTGAGAGTGGACTTTGTCAGCAGTGCTGGATGTGAGTGGGTCCAGGTGATGAGGGATAGACTCACCAGCATCACTCGGACAGAGTCGGCCATGAGACCCACGTAGGGCTTCAGGATGTCATAGTGGAAGGCTGGGGTCAGCATCCGCCGGTGCTGGAACCACGTCTGCCCCTCCAACACGAGCAAACCTTTCCCTGGGCCACAGATGGGTGTGTGTGTGGGTCGGGGAGACTGGATCAGAGGGATGACTAGGGACAACTTGGGAGGAACCAAGGGTGTCAGGAGAAGGCACATCATGGGCAAAGGTAGGAAAGGGCAGTATAGTTCAGGAATGTGAATTTCCAAAATGGCTGGTCCATAGGA